TTATTGAACATCTGACAGACAATACTGAAAGTATCACAGTTTTAATCTAGTGTCAGAGAAGAGAGGGATGTCTTAATCACTTACAAGTTAACACAGTCATATGAAGTATTACAAATTCAACAAATAATATTTTGTATAGCATAATAGTTTCCCTGAGTTTATTAACTGGACATTGTGTGTTCTTTTTAAGAATTCTAACCTGATTCATCAGAAGGTGTCTCCTCCTGTGGAGCAACAGGAATCTCCAATCCTATCATTCATTTACCTGGAACAATTCAATGCCATTCGCCTTGTGCAAAGTGTCCATCAGTCCCTTGCTTCTTTAAGTAAAGTCATCAGAGGTACCTCATTACTGAGTTCTGAAGTACAAAGACTAGCAAGTGCTCTGCTAAATCAGAAGGTAAGTCATTTTGTCATGAATTTACATTATAAGCAATGAAAAAAACCAGAACTGAAAAAATTCTGATACATATTTTCATGTCACCATTTGCTCCAAGTTCTTTGCTTCACAGAGACTCTAAAATGACATTCTTTTATTAATAGTGACTCGAAAACTGAACTTTTTTTTTTTTCTGGAATGAAAACCCAGAAAAATGTTGCTTTGAGTACTTGCAGAAGCTTCTGAGTATATTATACTTTTATCAAGCTTAAGGACAAATCCAATATGATGAGAAGTTGCAGAATACTATTTCTGTTTCAAATACCAAATCATGCTAGATAAGTCAAATTTATTAGCCAACAGAACATGTAAATCTGTCCCTTTTCTTAGTTTTTACGGTTTCTTAAAATTCAATTTTCACTGCAGCTGCAATCACAATTGACTCTTTGCATTTATTCAGTATGAATTATCACCATGTCACACCTGACAAACGGTGCCTATCATATCAGCCTATCATCTCACCCTATAGTCTTGAGACACAGGAGAAGAACAACTGAAATTTTCTTACTGTGAGGGTGCCGGAGCACTGGAACAGGCTGCCCAGAGAGGTTGTGGAGTCTCCTTCACTGGAGTCATTCAAAACCCGCCTGGACGCCTTCCTGTGTGATGTACTCTAGGTGACCCTGCTCTGGCAGGGGGGTTGGACTAGATGATCTTTCGAGGTCCCTTCCAACCCCTGTGATTCTGTGATTCTATGAAAATTTGTGCATGTGCTTTCTCCATGTGTTCTGGCATTGAATTGGGTGTGTTTATAAACTGGAACTGTTTCTAACTGCAAAATTACGTGCTCTGTCATTAATAGCCAGCTTAATTGGATTCCAGAGATAGTCAAACATTGAGGTGAAACTCTGTGGTTTTATTTCAGCGGCCCCAGTTGATAAATTGTGTTGATGCTAATGCATAGGTGTTGAGATTGGCCCCGCAATGAATGATCATTTCTATTAACATCTTGTTTATCTTCATGTGAGGAGCAAGCACTGTTAAAAAGATTGTTATGCATTTATTGATCTATCAAATTTCTAATTAAATCAATGATTAAATTCTTTGTCTTTTCAGATTCACAAGACAGTGTTTGTTAATGGAATTGCAGTACAGATAGAATAAATTAATGTTTTCATGTTAGCAATCTCATTGCCTTTTTAAACATTTTTCAACTGTGTGGTAGAAATTGGTGCAAATTACAAGTCATAGTGAATGCAAATGGTACATGTTATGGCCATTTTTAGTATTAATGGTTATATTTCTTGTTACTGAGCAGGAGAGTATGACTTGCTTGTGTGTTTAAGCTGCACTCTTCAATTGGGAAGCAGCAGGAGCTTTGAAGCTTATCACTGTCACAAAAATGTACTTAAAAATTCTATGCATTTTTATCTCTCACAAACATCAGTTCATTGCTTCCTGATACACACTGAGCAAAGTGCTTCTGGCATTTCATCTGCTTAGTTACCTGCTTACACAGGCACATATCACCTTACTGGATTGTGACCATAAAGCAATCTTTTCAGCAGCCTTTCTGAGGGGCTATTGCCATGCTCTTGGCATGGCAGCTAAACCTCATGGCAGCTCATCCTCACTATAGCCATCGTCTTAAAGTGATGTGTTTCATGTCATTTCTATACACTGTTCTTGTTTAGTTCAGTGTGGTCATACATCATGTAACAAAGGACTATTTAAAAAAACTTGTATTTTAAAAGCACCAAGACTGTAGTTCTTTTAAGGTTATAGCACCTGAAGAATCTGCTAGATTAACAGTAGAAGTGTGAAAAATCAATAAATGTGTGAGTTCTTATGGTTTCAGCAATGTGTCTTATTTCTGTCAAATTGATATGTTAGTGTACATCTGAAATATGCTTCCATACTAACAATTAGCTAAGCTATTACTTTAGAGTAATTTACAGTGATATATTAGCAACATTAGGTGAATGCCTTCTAAATGATAGATTGGTGAGCTGCCTGTAAATGCTTATCTAGCAAAGGAATCTGCCAAAATGCATGAATAATAGCTTCAAATACAAAAAGTTTTTTTAAAAAAAATGATTATTATGCAAAAAAGCATGCAGTTAACGGTGGTTTATCATTTGCCCTGTATGTATTCTAGTTTATTCAATTCATTATTAGTGTCTCCAGATCCAGATAGTTTCTGGTTTTTTATCTACAAAAAGTACACTTAGAGTATTAAGTTTCACAGATAACTTTTTTCTTATGAACTTTTGTGGTCAGATTTTGAAAATCTGTTTGGCACTTATGCTACTAGATTGTGAACCTCCTTGAAAATACAGCTGTAAATGCCACAGTATAAACTGTTTATTCTGCTCAGCATCTTCAGTATTGTGCAATGTTCCACAGGTAATCATTTACATCAATTCTCTTTCATGTAAGCAGGAGAATCTTGCAGAGTTAATTACAATGTGCTTTACAGATTCCTCTGAAGTAGTTACAGTTGATGTTTTTATCCTTATAAAGAGGAAATCTAACAGAGGATCTTTTAAAACTTTGGTTTTGAAACCAATGAGAAATTTGTATGGGGAGGAGTTGCAAGATTTTATTCTCGGGTGTTGTTCTACAAACACTTTAAGGTGCTGAGAATATTATAATTCAGAGGAGTTGTACGAGATTCACTTCACTACAGAGGGTCACAACTGCATGTGCCAGTCTGAGGAAGCAGCAGCAAAGGAGTGGGAACCTGTGGCTGCAGTTGAAAGATGGCATTGTGGCTTTCCCAAGAAACACTCAACTTTGGCCTTTCTGAAGTGCTTGTGGAACCTGCTGATGTTTCCTTGTTGAATAGCAGAGGTTCTTGTAAGTTTTCCATTAGCACTGTATCTCTGTGGGCCACACAAAGTTAGCAGGAATATGACTTTCCTATTAGGGGTTGTATGCTTTGTTCATTATACTACTTGTATTGCCTTTTTTTGTTTGTAGATATATTTTATCTCTGGATTATTGAATTTCCTTCAAATTTCTAGCTTAAAATGTAATGGTGATGGTTTTGAAATGGATTCTTTCAGTAAATATATTTTTATTTCAGTGTCCTGTCACATGGCAAAGCAAGTGGGAAGGTCCAGAAGATCCTTTACAGTATCTTAGGAGTCTTGTAGCTCGAGCACTTGCTATACAGGTAATTTTAAAGGGTCATTTTATGTCAGTATTATGCTATTATGTGAATTACACTACATTAAACCTTTAAAACTCAACTCCCAAAGAATTTTAGGTGTGTGAAAAAAGGCTTGTAAATATTTGAAGCAGATGAGAAATATGAAATTTGAAATATGTGAAAATGGCAAACAGCAATTTGAAGTCAGTAACGCTGAATACAGTAATGTTAGTTATTTCACAGTAAATTTAGATTTTAGATTTTAGTCTTTCTGATGAACTGTGGGAAAAAAGGTGCATTTACTCATGAGTTTTCACATCAAAGTCAAGACACACTTTTTAATCCGGTAGAGGGATATGTATGAAGAGATAAGGAAGCAATTCTGATGGGGTAATGTAGAAATTCATAGAACACTACTCTTTGAAACAAAGAAAAGATCTGTGTTCTTCAGGTTTACAAGGGGCAATAATAAAGGTGCAGAGTCTGACAATAGCTGTCAAACTACAGTCTGGCAGTGAAGGAGGTAATATTTAGTCAAGGTAAGACTATATATACTTTGATTGACAGAAGAGCTATATTTAAGATATTAGGCAGACAAAATAAAAAGTAATGTACCTAAATGAATTAGTATTTAAAGATACAGATTTCATTATATTGGATACATAGAGAGGAGGTTTTCTTTATAAAGAATGGATCTGCTACTACCTCCGGGCAATAAACAGAAAGCTATACTTTGTGACCTTGGCTAACACAGTCTTGTCCAGTGGCCTGGGAAGAAAATTTCTGTGAGTATTAGCATTGACTCTCAGCTTCAGAAGGAATATTTGAGGATCACATGATTTCTAGGCATTACTTCTAAAGAAGCCATCAAATGGATGTTTCCAAAGTATTAATAAGATTCTTCTTATGCAAATAATTTCTTTTGGCTAATGCTTATTTTTTTCTTTACCCTTTCCTGCATAAAAAGGCTCAAATTATAAATGATAAAGTATAAATATTTATAGCAACAAATGATAATGCATGTTCAGATGTTATTTGGTCATATAAATAGAGTTGAACTCAGCCCCTTCTGTCTTTTGACTGACTGTTATAGTAAGTATTATTATTAATCAAGCATTATTTGTGGCTGAGTCAGGAGTGTTTGTAATCTTCAAGAGTACCTTACAGTTTGCAACTTCTACCTTTATTTGGTTGGAACAAAAATGCATGTGATTTTCCTTACTTATACGATTTTTTACTTACATATATGATTTTTTTTCTTTTAATGGAAGCCTGAAGTTAGAGTTCAAGCCTCTGCGTGGAGTGCATCTCTCATACAAAGTGGAGATAATGTGGCAGAGAGTAACAGGATGAAATTAAAGTTAACAGTAATAGATGATTTTCAACCAAACTTATTCATGGTTTTTATTTCCCTGTATTACCCTAGTAAACTGTTGGCAAATGTGCTGCATTATATTACCACGATAGTGATCTTCCTTTCTCATTGTTCAAACTGCTGAACAAAATTGTATGTTTGGATTACTCACTTTTATGAAAGTTATTCTGAAGAAAACATTTTGAATTTTAAAAACTTCTTTACTTAAGGGGGACAGATTTCTAAGGCAGAGCTTTACAGCAGATATAGAACTGTATCCATAAGCAGTGAAGTGTGTTAATTTTTTTGTTAGTGACAATAGAAATGATGACCAGATATTGGTCTTACATCTTCTGTGTGTTTTTTAATGTCCAGTGTGTAATACTGTTATATTTGAAGCTGTTCTTAGTAATACATTATCAGTCTGTTTTGCTTCTCAAGCTTCTAGTGAGATCACATCTGAAATACAATTTCTGTGGTTTTATTTTTGTATGTATTTTACCAGCAAAATGTTGATTATTTTTAATTATGTATTTGAGGTAAATCATCTTTTTCCTTAATATTATTCCAGTTCATGTTTGTGCGTGTGACACCAAGATTTTGATTAGCCTTTTTCATGTCTTTTCATTAGGTACTTTATAAATGTAATTTATTATTAGTTACTTCTATATTCAGCATTTAGAAATAAAGGCTTCAGTAAAGATTGTCTCATAATTCTGAAAGTTATTTTCAGATTTATATTTCAATGAAGGCCATATTTTTGGATTTTTTTTTTTTTTTTGATAGCTATTCATAGCTTCCTCTGCTTCATTCACTATAAGATAATGGCATTTGAGACAGGATCGATTTAGGTATTCTTCAAGAGGAAAATGGTGATATTGAAACTTCACAGTTGTACTGAAAGATTGCATCTACTAAGGATGCAGTAAGTCTTTACTTAGGTTATTAGTTAAATGCTACCTTGTCAAGATGTTTGCTACTAGTGTATAAAATAATAAAAGCAACTGCTTTGTTGCAGACATTTAGTGGGAGTGGGGAGGAACCCAAAATATAAGCCAGAGGGTAAAATAATTATAGCAGAATTTATAGAAGTGTAAAGATTTTCTGAGGTCACAGGCCAACAGGCAGAAAAACAACAGGTATTGCATTTCTCAGGTCTGAATTCACTCAGGAAAAGAAACTAAAGGGAATCTGCCTGCTTAAAAGTGTGAGCAAATCAGTGTATGCAAAATGCAATAGAGCCATGTTTTGCTTTGCTGTGGTGATACAGCTGATGGAAAAATGTGATTTCTTGCCAGGTGGAAATTCTGACATTGGAATGTTAGCTTGTGCTTTACATTAAAACAAAAATTCTGTGTATTGAGCACTCTTCTAAGATGAAGATTTCTGAATACTTTCAACTGTCAATGCTGACACTGACCCATTCTCAAGGCTGGGGTACCAGCAGGAGAGAGAGATTAGAGACCCAGCACTACAGCTATTAAGAGGCAAAGCAGAAGGCCTGGTAAATATCAGATGGCTATCAACACTGAAAAAATGTTTCAGGTCAACGAATTGGAACTTACATTTTGTTTCCATAAGAACTAAAAAAACCCTGTTATTCTAAAAAGGCCTTATATTTTAAATGAAAATACTTATTTAATTCTTTTGAACTACGCTGTTTTGAGACATCTGTAAAACCAGTTCTTCCTTTGTATGGCTGCTTGGTCAGACAACTGCCAAAAGGCTTACAGCATACACTGAAAATGAAGACAGTTTGACCTCCCAATCATAAACACTACTTTCAGAGTTTTAATCAAGGAAATGTTTATGAATACTGAAAAGCTTTTTGCAATAAGTTATGAATGTTTTTGTTGAAAATTTGTGCTTATCTGTAAAGTACTCCTAATATAGTATATAAAAAAGTTATATGTCATATTTTTTCAAGAAATTTGCATGTATCTCTCTGGCATGCTGTTATCTCTTGTCCCCTCCCATCCTGAGTGAAATCTAGGACAGTGATATTTAGTTTTAATGGCAATTTGACTCCCTAGTATAAGACTTTTACTATTTTACTACCCTTACTATTTGATGTAGAAAGACTTCGTTTCTGTTTTGGAATCCTTACTATTCTTGTTTCAAAAATTAGGTCTCTAGAAAGGTATATTGGACACCCAAGGTATATGAGGAAATTGCCTGCTGAAGCTACTAGAAAACATTCTGAGAGTAGGAGACACAGGATTCTTCTTCACACCCAAGACATCTGGGCAAAGAGTTTCAATTTTCATTCACTGATAACTGCTCTTAGAAATTTGAGGAGGTCGAGTCCTCTCAATTTTCATTGAATTAAAGAACTCTGAGGACCAGCCTGTAAATCAGTCTTAGTGCAACAGTATATGATATGCAGATAAAATCTGAGAAATAGAGACTGAGTGTGAATCCCAAAATAGGCATGCCCACATATGCTGCAGAGACCCAGCCAGCCACCCCGTGGCTAACAGGAGGTCAGTAGTACCTTTACAGGCAGATGCATAAACAGCCCAAACAGCCCTGTCCTGTTTCTGTGACTCACTGCTCACGGAGAACACCCTTCACAAGGCTCGCTGATATTTGGTCTCTGTGCTGTCTTGCTTCCAGTCCCTCAGTCTCCACCACATAAAGGGCACACTTGCACAAAAAAACCCCAAACAACTAAAAGTAGTGATTAAGAGGAAATCAGGATGAATTCTGGTGATCGGGTGCAAGGTGTACTGACCAGCAGCCTCCCTACATATGACCTGCCCTTTGATACCTCTCTGTTTTCCAGTTCTTGTTCATCCCTCATCCACCTTGCCTCACCTTTGGTCCTTCCCCTAAATATCCCATAATAAATCTTGTACAGTCCCAGAGTTTTCGTGTTCAGTTCCCAGATTCACCCACTTGGGCACTCTGTAATAAGGCCTGTACTCCTTTAAGTAATCTCACTGAGTTTATATAGCATTCCAGATTTTTGTCTAATAGATTGCCTCAGCACATTTGTCATCAGAGACAATAGCTTAATGGTTTGTCTTTCACGGTTTAGGAGTAGCTGATTCAGATGGATTAGGTTGGCTGCATTCCTCACCTTGTCCTTGGTCCTCTCATCACTCTCTCTATATTTGAACAGCTGTTACCTGGGTATATGTACAATGCAGAATACTTCAGATTTAGTATTCTATTATTAAAGTAAAAAAAAAACAAACATAAAATATTGTTTTAAATCCATCCCTTCCATTATTTTAATTCAAATTTCCACCTTATTCTAAAGAACTAGTATTTTTCTGTTCCTTTTCTTGGCTTTTCATCTTCAGCTGTCATGAATATCAAAACAAAAATACTACATTATTTCCTAAGAAACTGAGCCTTAATTGGATCCCACAGTTCTCATCATGTTGCAGCATGATTTCACTTTGTTCAGAATTTATCAGCCAGGATACATCTGTGAAGACCTTTTATCTAAGTGATAACTGCTTGGTAAAAATAGGAAATCTGCAAGTACTGTATAAAAATGTAGATTTTTTTCTTCGTCTCTTATAACAGGCAAATTTGAAGCTCTAATAGACCCAGGTATTGTATCATGTCTCTTTTTAATCACTGTTTCAGTTAGATTATATTGATTAAGTAGTGTCTGGTGTGGCATAGCAATGCTTTAGAAAGATAAACCATCCAAACA